AAATCTGAGAGTCATTGTGGGAAGCGAACAGACAAGGCTGCTCCTAGCCAGAGGCACCCCCCTCTGGAAACATCTCAACTGTATCCCAGTCTGATCCACAGCTTTGTCATAACACTTTGCACATTGCAGTGGACATTGCCTCTCTTCTCCGCTGTATAGCAAATATTGTAGTTGACAAAGTTTGAAAGGTGTGCCCTGTACTTGCTGAATGTATGCAACATTGTAACATAATCTGCCCCTCTGTGGGTGCTCTGCTGCCTGTAGGAGGCTGCCCTGGGTGCATCCTTCTCTGGTTTCCTAGGCCAAGTTAGGAACAGGGAAGGGGCAGAGAATCTCCAGGCACTGCTCTTCTGCTTCCAGCAGTTAAATCCCTCTCCCTCCTCCTTTCACACTGCTCACTCCCCAGAGGTCAAGTTTATTTTTTAAAATATTGTATTGTTTATGCCATTACAGTTGTCCCAATTTTCCTCCTTTCCCCATTTCTAACCCCACAGTCAATCTCCACACCATTGTCCACGTCCATGGATCCTTCATGTATGTTCTTTGACCAATCCCTTCCCCTTCTTTCATCAATCCCCACCTCCCCCTTCACCTCTTACAGCTGCCCATCTGTTCCATGTTTCTATGCTCCAGAGGCCAAGTTTAGAGAGACTTCTAGATGCTGTGCTGAATGCCAATGGATTTTTGTGGCCCCAAGAATCTCCAAATGCAAGACAAGCCTCTACAGTGAAACAAGTCCCACAGAGTTGTTTTCTCCCTGTAAGAGTAAAGACAGATTCAGGCTTTCAGATGAAAATAGATTTTCCCCGTATGCTTTGGATCGATAAAATGAAAACACAGAGAAGAATTTAAAAACAAACAAGGACCCTGACCTACTGGAACCTGTAGCCTGGCCTCAACCTTTCCACCGGGCACTCATCACACCTGGGCCCCACCACACACACCCGGCTGTGCACCAGCCACACTGACTTCTCCCGGGTCTCTAAGTGCCCCTCGCGCCTCCCTGCCACAACGTCTCTTCATGTGAGCTTTCTCCACCCGGAACCTCTTCTTTCTCTTTCCCCAACCACCACCCTCTCTACTTTTGCCTAGATAACTTTCCTAGGTCCTTTACACCTCAGATTAAACTGCTTTCTCATTCTGACTAAGTCAACCTTCTGTCAGAGACAGTCTCCCTACAAGCTCTTCCCATCACCACCTTGCATTTCTTCATGTGATTTTCTTGATCAACATCTGCCTCCCCCACCGCATTGTAAGCTCTGTGATGGCAAAGACTTGTTCTCTTTAACTCCCTGTTATTAACTTCCCCCAGCACCACCTAATACACTGTCTGTCATACAGCAGGCACTAAATAAGTCATCCATAATTTATTCAGCAATATGAGTGAATGAATGAACTTGTTGATTTCATTCACCTTAGTCTCTCTTTGATTTGTCTCTCTCAAAACAGTTAACAGTAGTTTGAAAAAGTTCTCTGATAAAGAATGCCACTCTGTAGTTCTAACTGAATAGGCGGGAAGGGATCATGAAGCTTATCTAGGGCATCGACAAAATGAAGGTACAATCAAGGACCAAAACCATCCTCTATTTTTCTTCTAGGGCTTCAGAAAAAGAGGGAAAACCTAGCACTGATCATCCCTATGTGTCATAGGCCATACCTGATTCTTTTTATTTGAGATCATTTCTAGAACTGGTTACAGTAATTTTCTTTAATAAATCAATATTCACTCCTATCTCTAGATGGACCCTCAATCTCTAGATATTGTGATTGTACCATGGTCTTATAAAAAAAATCAGCATTGTGAGGTCTCAGTGATGTATTGCTGAATAAATATTATAATTAGAGTTAGAATTTTTATATAATTTTATGTTCAGTTAAAATTGCTTTTTAAAAACGTATGCCTGGTATCTTGGCAATCTCAAAGCCATCTACCAAAACCACTCTGCATTGGAGGCTGGAGCCTGTTTTGTCCTGGGAGCTCTGCAGGATTTGGCGCCCAGTGGGCTGCGCCACAAACAGCAAGGTAACTGTGGAAGTGGGAGAAAATTTGGATCCACTTAAAAGATAGCCAGGAAAATCAGTAAGTTATTATTGACTATTTCAGAAAAGATGACTCTAGATTATTTTAAATTCATTCTAAAAAACCGTGTTACACTTTGAAATTATTTCCTCCCTCCATTTTGTTTGTTTGTTTGTTTGTTTTGGCAGTGAGGTCGGAGATGATATGAAGGATAACCAGATGTGCTTATAGCATTAAAAAGTGGACCAGTTGATATCTTTTCTTGAACTAAATTGGAAGTAGTCAACTATTTCTCATTCTAAGAAAATCACAAATTTGTAGAATCACCTGCAAGAACATTTGAAACCTAAGAGACTTAAAGCTCTAGTGTTCCAGAGCCTAAAATGTGTTCTAGAAAAGCTTTGACTCTTGGAAAGGGTTCAGATAAATTACAAGAGTGTGTTCTTCTGGCTCTGAAGTCAAGTTCACATTAACTAGTAATTGAAAATATAACAAGATAGTATGAATGTTATCTAATTGTGTCTAGGTTTTTTGAGTTTGTTCCACCCAAAGTTTTTATTATGATTAATAAGTATTATAAATCCCCCTTTAAAAATATTTTTATGAGAAATTCATTATGGACAAAAAACATTCTATATTCCTTTTGTCTCAGTTAGCCTCGTGATGGAGAGTTTAGCTTTTCACACCAGTCTACTCGCATTGCAGCATAATACTTACAAAGAAGTAAATTGCCTCTGGAAAGTAAGTTTGCACCAGTGCTTGAGGAGAGATCAGATATTACCAGGTCATATGAGAAATCTTGACACCCTATAAAGTAGATTCGAAAAGAATTCTGTTCCATGGTATTCACTTTTGGGGGAACTATGGGCCTGGGAGCTATGAAGAATGGCCAGAGAAAACACCTGACCTTTGTGACAATGTGCTGATCTCTAGACCACACAGGATGCGGGGAAGGTCTCACCAGAGCCAACAGGAAAGGTGCCCACAGAGCAGCAGATGCAGGAGGCATCCTGGCCGGGGCAGGGTTGAGGGGGCTACAGAATGGGAGTGCAGCAGGTTCTGTGGGTAGAGAGCTTGACCTCTCCTCTTGCTCCGAAGACGATCAGCGACTCCCTTTACCAGTATCACAGTAGCTTGCAGGTCAAAACTCAAAGTAAACTCAGAAATAGCCAGCCCAATTTACTTAGATTTTAGAGGTGAAAACCAAGACCTAGAAAATGGAAAAGACTCTCCCTTACGTATGTCACTATTCATGGTTAAATGGCAGTGTGGGACTTGGTAGCCCTTCGCTGCTGTGAAGACGGGAGCCAGGAAGCCACTCCATGTGCGGGTGCCTTACAGCTCCCCAACTGGGACAGCTCTCAGAGGCAAAGACAGGCAGTAGGAGCCCTCGTGCCAGTGGCAGCCTGACTTGAGTGTCTGATGCACTACGCTGTGCAAAGCCTTTGTGAGTGGGAGTTCAGTGTTGGGGCTGCTGGGGCCCAAAGGCACCGTCTGTGGGGTACAGATTGCTCTGGGAAATAAAAGCCAACCTGACACAGTGAATAGTGTTGGCACTGAGAGTGCATTTTTCTTAATTATGTTAATTAAAACTTAAAAGGGAATTTTTCTAGGAATAGTTTGTTTAAGGATGAGAAAAACGACTTGGCCCCAGATGCGATTCCTTAAAGGGTGCACCATGCTGGATGCTGCTTGGAGTGCTGTGCCTCACACTCCCATCTCACCGTGTCGATGCTTCCTCTCCTATAGTTTATGTGGCGCAGTTCCCATGGGAACGAGAATATCCCGATGGGGAAAGGATGGGGAGAAGCAGGTGGTGTGGGAATATTTCCTCCTATGAGTTAAATGCAGAGTCCCATGAGGACAGCTTCCTTCTGGACCTCACTGTGACAGTATGACATTTCCAGCCTCCATGGACAGGGATGCAGCTCACTGGCTTTCCTGTCCTCAGCTACAAGGAGGAGGAGGACCCCATCCCCACGGTGTCCCTCAAGGAGTCCTCAGCATCCATCAATCAGGTCCTTCTCCAGGGACCCCACTGACACCTACAGCACCTTTGTTCCAGAAAAAAATCCATTCTGGGCTATAGTCCTGAGTGCTATCTCTGCGCAGATGGCAGAGCTCTCACATCTTTTCTTCCTTCGTTAGTAAGGCAAACCAACAACACACCTGCCATCCTCAGGGCAAACGATTGGACTCAGTGAACTCTCCATTTTCACAGCTCCACAGTAATAAAAACATGAAAGAACTCTTCACTATTCTATACTACAGGGCTGGTTTGCAGTTGAGTATGCCTTCCTCTTTCACGATGTGGGCAGAGCTAATAGGAGCAGCCTCATTACACACTGAGAAGTCCTCCCTTCTCAGCTCATAATCCCAGACTCACTGGGACAGCTGCTCTCTGGGGACCTATGTGTAGCTCTCAGTGCCACACAGGGGCATATGCCAGGGCCCCTTCTGGCTCATGTTCCAACCTTTCAGCACTCGTGCGTTTCCAGTCCTCCTCACCATCTGCCCTGGTCTCTGGCCGGTCCTCTGCCAAACACACACACTCATGAATGCTGTGCTCCAAGCAGATCTTGGTTCCCAAGGTAGCATAATTGTGTCTGTGTTCCCTTATTATACTAAGCTTTCCTTTCTTTCTTTTCTATATACAAAGCTTCCTTTGAAGTAAGGGATCTTTTGTAGCAGAGGTAGAGCTCTCTCTCTCTTATTTGAGCATTATCACAATGTTCTGATGCAGGATATTAAAGTTAATAGTTTTATTTTTATGCATTCCAAACAGAGAGACTGTAATCTCTCCCATTAAAATAGCCGTAAGACTCTGTGGCCCCATTCCGTGGTTTGGGGAGAGAAGATTGGTTAATAAAACTGTTCTAAAGTTGATGTTGATAAATTCATTTCCTCCCCATGACTTGTTATTAAAACATATGTGTTGACCTTAAACGCCGGTTTAACATAATTGTTCCTCTTCCTGCAGCACCTGAGATTCTTAGAGGCTGCGCCTATGGACCTGAGGTGGACATGTGGTCAGTGGGAATAATCACCTACATCCTGTAAGTGAAGGAAAGCACCCTAATGCAGACTGTTTGGCTTTACTGTGATATTTTCTCCTAATCATAGGTGATCATAGTAGTCCTCACACAAGGCAAGAGTACTTTTTGACTTTTCATGATTTTCTATGACATACTAAATAAGGTTAATGATAGAATTTTCTGAAGATGAGCATTGCCTTCCATTCTGTAATTTTTGGGGGGCTAGAACTTCTGTCCAGGGCATTTCTGTGTCTCACTCTGCTGTGCAATGCACAGCAGATTTGGGGAACAACTCATATTTAATGATAATAATAAATCTAAAACTCATGTTCACCTATTAAAAATGCTCTTATTTTACTTATTTGCATCTCTTCAAAATAATTAGGGTATTAGTCCTTTTTAAAGGGCAAATGGCTGTTTAGTCATGTAAGCAATCCCAAACTGGTACATTTCTTATCAGGAATACTTTAAATGCATTTTGGCTATCAATTTTGTTTCCTATCTCAAGTACCTCAAGTTTAATACCCTAAACTCAGAGAAACATTTTCTGTGGTTGAAAAAAACATGAGCTAAATCTCTCACCCTCTGATGTCCCCAGTTCTATTCCTGAGCTCCTGACTACTAATAAACAAGGGGTTGCTGGGAACTCACCAGAGAGAGGGTGGAACTGTAGACGAACACAAGGAAATAAGCAAGAATGATGGGAGAGTGTCTAGGGAGGGAGATGGCTGGAACAACTGAAAAAGCAAGCTATCAATGAGTTCCAGAATTTAAACAAGGAAATTTGGTTGCCATTTAGAGGTAGCTGCTAGGCTAATTGTCAGAACCTGTAATATGCAAACCTGTAAAGAGATTTCAAAGGGTGTAAAAGAACATGCTATTCGTCAGCTCAGGCTGCCAGAACAAAATGCCACAGTCTGGGTGGCTTAAAGACAGAAATTAATTTCTCACTGCTCAGGAGGCTGGAAGTCCTAGGTGAGGGTGCCAGTAGGTTGAGTTCTGGTGAGAGTTTTCTTCCTGATTTGTAGGGATCCACCTTCCACTATGTTCACGCCTGGCCGGAAGAGGAAGCTAGCTCCCTGGAGTCTCTCTTTAACCGGCTACTAATCCCATCATGAGATTCCACCCTGGTGATCTCCTTTCACCCTAATTCCCTACCAAAGCCTCTTCTCCAAAAGCCATCACAGTGTGGGCTAAAGCTTTAACATATGAATTGGGAAGGGGAAACAGTTCAGTCTGTGGAAGAAAGAGGGCTTTGTTTTTGAAATTTAATAGTAATCTTAGAAATTTCAGTGCTTAGGTAATATGGCTAGGCATGGGGTAACTGGGGTAGGACCCCCACCTAGTTAGTAAACTCTGAGTATATACTTTGGTCAGTAGCCAAGACAGATGGTTCAACAAGCAAACCATGAAATAGCCATCTGCTATTATGTAACATCAAAAGATATTTTCAGTGATCAATTCCTTGTGTTTCCTGAATGTATTAAAGCTTCAGAAGATTTTGAGAGGTAAAGAACCATTCTTTTTTCCTTATGAAAGTGCAAACTGTTAGGTAATTTTTGTTTGCCACACTAAGAATTTTATTCATTGAAATGGATTCCCAAGGCCACATCATAGAATTCCTTCAGCTTATATTTGAGATCACTGTCGTACTGGGGAAAGTATGTGGGTGACATATCATACATAGTGATGTGAAGTGAAAAGCTGAACTACACAAATAATGATTCAGATTTGTCCCTAAAATATAAATGTGCCCACTAATTACAATTCTGCATTGAAAAGTTATGGGAGAGTTTAGAACATTAAAGTGGTGTAGGAACTCAGAGAGGTAGAGATAGGAAATTACCTGACATTCACCCTGTAAAAGTGAAATATGGAATGAATAAAACTCCATGATATGGTCACTGACATGGGAAAATGAATAGAAAAATATGTGATCATTTGAGATACATCTTATTATAGCCCTGAAAATAAGTTTAAAAATCTATCAAGCTCTTTCCCCACAGTTTACTTAAGGTCATTAATTAACAGGTGGTGTTTGAAAGTAAGCAGCAGGACACCCAGAATGAAAATAACAATGCTGCATATAACTAATACTCCTTAATAGTTCTGGTCTGGCCTAACCTCTGTCAGCCTGGGGAACTTTTTTTATTAAATGTGCCCCAGGCATGGAATAGCTCTGGCCACCTACACAGGCATCGAGCTGGATGAAGGAAGAACGGCTTGTCCGCCTTGCCCCAGTCAGGTGTCTCCTTGCCCATTGCCGGGGCCGAGGGGTGGCTCAGGACTTTTTATGCAATCTGTAGTTCATTAATAATTGATGAAGTCTACCAGGCAAGGTTTGCTGGAACATTTTCTTCAGTGGAATGTGCCCTCGGACATATGCATCTCCTGTATTACGGAGTGTTATTGAAAGTTCCACCAGGCCATTCATTTTGTGTTATCATCTTGCTATTTCTGAGCACAGCAGTAGACTGGAAATGAAGGCCATTTTGCTGTTTCTCACAGGAATTCTGGTCCCTCTACCTTTGACACCTGACCCCTCTGTCCCCACAGACAAAAGCAACTGCTTCAGTGCTCCCATCAGAGTCAGTCAGATAACGTCGGAGATTCGCAGTCTCTCCTTCAAGCTTTCAGCACCGCAGTCGCCCGGTGGCCCGGAGCCACGTTGTATTACACATTCGCACTTTGGGCCCGTGTAATCCTAATACCCGCCTAAACTGTCCTTGTTGGCATTCAAATATTTCCATTGCCGAAGGGTTTCTGTTCTCTGTGTGTGAATGTGTGTGTACACAGTCTGCTGTGTGTCACATCTCTCCCATTTTTGGCATTCCAGGCTGACATGACAAACTCATTACCTCTATCACCAATACACACATGTGCCAAAATGATTGAAATGAAAGAAAGGCATTTGAGTACCGTACCTTCTGAACTGTCACTTTTCTTCCTCGATTTCCAGAAGGGAAAACACGAGAGTTCCCTAAACTAAAGCTGGAAAGTCGGCTAATCTCTCCATGCCTAACCAGCAGCAGGCTATATTTCTCTAGTGTTGTGGGGGGCACAGGAGGGCCCGGTGAGGCTGAGTGGCCTGCTTGTCCAGGTGTGGACATGCACTCCCTTCTCTCCTGATGCTGGAGCAAGACCCTGTAGGCGGACACCACATTGGGACAGAGAGGATGTGCTGGCCTGGGCCTCTGAGCACCTGACCTTGCCTTTTCCTGGCCCGCTCCAGGATATTTGAAAATGACAAAGCCTGTCCCCAAGGGGCATTTCCTAAGCAAAAAGACATGAGAAATGGCTTCTTCCTAGAAACCCACTACATTAGGATACCCTTAAACATTTCCTGCTCTGCATCAACCTGGCCAGCTTGTAGAAAGAATTTGGGAAAATGTTTTTAACTTAATCAGTCTCCACCACCACCACAACCCCCACACATTCTTTGTCAAGTGCAACACATGCCCTGGCAGAGACTTCTTAAAAAAATAGGTTCCTTTTGGTTCTTAGTGATTTCAGACCCTCCACCCATCTAGAAACAGTGAAGGCGTGGTGGTCCTAGACCAGGAACTCACCTTCCCTCTCTGGCTCTAGGATGCCACAGGTGGTCCTCTGCCACTTTTCCCCACTTTTCCCATTTATTTTTATGCTGACCCTGTTGTGGAACACGAAGGAGAACACAGTGAAACATCTGTGCGATATACATAAATGAGTGTCACACCGAAGACGGAGGGATCTCTGGGCTTCTCATCTCTGTTGGTTGCATCTGTCAGTTCACTGTATGAAGTTTTAAAGGCCATTCTCTGACAGTCATTGTTGCTCCTATTTTTGTTCACTCTGAAATCCAAACTGGAATGGGATAAAAATCTAATACTTTACACGTTTATAAGTAAGAATTCAGTGAATAGGGCTGAATAAAAATGACCGAAAAGTCCCTTCTTTCCACCTTTTAATCTCTTTATTCTTTAAACCCTAATTCTTCTACTTTGTGGTAAATTGGAATGCTAATCGATCTCTGTCTTCTCAATTCCTGGTGGAAAAAGCCATGGAAAGTCTAATTACCATATGCCTATGATAATGTTAGCTGTTGATATTGTTTTCTGTGATATAATTACTAATGTTATGATAACAGTTTTTAGAAGTCCTGAATCAGTTTTGTGTCTGTCCCGAGTTCCTGACGACACGACTGTGTGTTTACGCACTCCAGACTGAGCTTCAGTGAGGTGATTTCACACCCGTTCTGAACAGAGTTGCACCCATCACAGGAAGCTGTGAGGAAGGGCAGCCTCGGATTTCCACAGAAAAATTGGTGAAACACACTTAGCCTCTTAAAGACATTTTATTTCCTATCTTTTGTCCCTCTAGACTTTGTGGATTTGAACCATTCTATGATGAAAGAGGCGATCAGTTCATGTTCAGGAGAATTCTGAATTGTGAATATTACTTTATCTCCCCCTGGTGGGATGAAGTGTCTCTAAATGCCAAGGACTTGGTAAGTATGACAAAAACAAAATGAAATAAAATCCCTCACATTCATTTTTAGCTAATTAATGGGCAGTGCTATTTTTTATTTTTGTCCCCCTTGATATATTTATAGTTATATTTTAATAAAACAAAGAAAACTAATACATTAGCTGACTTATCACAAATTAAAAATCACTGCAGTATTAATTAATGATTTTTCCCACCTAGTCAATGTAGAGCCTTGCTAATGAAGACAGACTGTGCTGGGACAACATAAATTACACAGAAGACATAAATTACACAGAAGAATTCTATTGTAACATACTTGTTATTACCTAGATTTGGTTGTAGTTCAAATAAAACAACATTTTTCTTGAAATGTTCACTTATTAAAATATCTTGATACTGAAACAAGTCCCACCATGTGTCATTGGCATTATAAACAAGTTACACTGTATTAACAGTGCATTTTGGGGTTTTTTTGTTCTTGTTTTTGTTGGTTTGTTTTACTTGGCTTGTTACTCAGGCCAATACTGAGGTTTGTTTGCATTCAGGAAATTAAAGGGAAATGGCCCACCTGTTCTAGAATACACAGCATACTAGCATGAAATTAAAATATTCACCATTAATATGCAGAAATTACTAAAAGCTAACTTTTGAATCACAGAGATTAGATCTTCAAGGGATCTTAGGAGTCATCTAGGATGACTTCCCCTCGTTTTAAAGATGAGTGTGCTAAAGCCCAGAATAGTGAAATGACCACCAAGGTCACAATGTTTCCCAGCAGAAAGTCATTGTTGGGAACCAGTGATCCAGGTTTCCAGACTTTATATCCAAAGCTTTTTTCCCTCCGAACATTTCCTTCTTTCCATCCATGCCCTTGCAAGAGACAGATCCCCTGTAGGCCATGGCTTCTGCACTGTGGCTGGGAAGCGAAAGAGTACGTGTGATGTGTAGGTGTGTCATTGCAGCTGTGCCCTCGTCAGGCCGCACGCTCCTGAACAGCCCTCCACTTCTTGCCTCCTCCACCAGCACTGTCCAGTCCAAGCTCCAACCTCTCCCACTGGACCACTGCCACAACCTCCCAATGGCCGTGCTACCTCTTCGCATGCCCTTCTCTACACAGGATCCAGAGGAGTGGTCTCACAAAGGAATCATATCATGTCACTCTCCTGCTTTAGGGCTCTTAGGATAAAGTCCAAGGTCTATGACAAGATCTATACAACACTGCCTGGTCTGAGCCTGGGACCCTCTCCCATCCCACTCATTTCGCATCACTCTTTTTTGGTCTCTCTGCACTCTGGGGCACCAGACTTCCGGGCCCTCATCAGTGTAGCTCTGATATGGGCCACTGTTCTTTCTTCTGCTTTGTAATGTTCTTGCCTCCATTCTTCCTCCCTCTCCTTCCCTACCATCTCACACACACACACACACACACACACATGCACACACACACCTCTTGCATGGGTAACTCATCTTCAAGCCTTAGTTGCCACTTGACATCCTCTGGGAGACGTATCCCCTCCTTTGGCAACCCCATCCTTCCAAAATTGCTTTGTTTCTCGGGCCCTGGACCTCCTCTTTTGTGACAGTCATCACTTACATTTACTTGTTCAAAAGCCTCCCTTAACTATATTGTAAACTCTGTACGAGGACAACGCATGTGTGCCCAGATCTTCGTGCCACATGGGCATATAGTACACAATCACTGTTTACTGAATGAAACAACAAATCAGGAAATAGACCATGCATTTTTAAAATCTGACACACCTGGGTTTAAGTGCCCCCTTTCTCAGGACCTGAAGGTGTAACTTTGGGCTTCTTATCTAACCTCGCTGTGTTTTAGTGTTCTTATCTGGACTGACACTGCGTTGTTGGGAGACTTAAGGATAAACTACGTGTCATCTAAAGACCACCGCCTTCAATGTTTCCTTATTTGGCCCTCCTTCCATTTCTTTCATCCTTAATACAAATTAAATGGATAAGAGGTTAACAGTGATGTTTCTTCACTCAACTAAACACCGTTGGTCAATATATTTATAAAACTTCAGAACTAAAGGAATCCTTAAGCCATAGATGTGTACTTACTAATGGAACCACATCTGTTACCAGCAAGGCGACAGTGCCAGTGAGTAGGGCAGCCAGGTTGTACGGGGGCAGGAGGATGCCCATAAGGCTTTGGGTTCGAATCCTGAAGAAGTCACTGGATCTCTCTGAGCTCAAGCAAGTGTCTTAACAACTCAGTGCTTTGGCATCTTCAAATGTACAGATTAATGCTGGCATATGTAAATGCTCAATACCCACTGGCTTTCAGCAAATTTTGTCTATTTTCATGAAGAGTAGGATAGTAATGGTGAAGAAAAGTAAAAGAATGACTGGAAAATGGGAGTGAAATATCTAACTGTAAAGGATGTTGTTAAAGATTAGGCATCATTTACATAAGAATATTAGATCACGTGTTCAACAGATGATGGCTTCCTGTCAGATTTTTATTGACTGCTGTGTTTTCATTCTCTGAGTCATCTGTACCTCCCTCCACCTCCTCTCAGCTTATATGCCTAAGCAGTCTTATGTCTCTGCCCTTAAACATTCAGTGTCTCTACCTTGGACACAGATTTCTTTGTGTATTTTGCAGAAAGGAAGTAAAAGGAGAACCACATATTTATTCTTCATTTGACATGTTGCCTGATTTTGTTAGCCTGTGTTTCGTTCTCCTTAAGTTATTAGAGTTAGAGAAGACTTTAGGCCTTAAATCATTTGAAGTTCCTCATTTTACACATGGGCAGACGAAGGCCCGAGAAGTCAGCTGCCTGGGTGTCACTACGGTGCAGTGACCACAGAGCTCCGAGGTGGGACAGACCTGAGTCTGAATGCAGCCTCCCCCAATTACAGCTGGTCTGACCTTGGACAAGTTACTGAATCTTTCTGAGCTTCCTTCCATCACTCCTGTGTGAATTGATAAGGTTATAGAAAGGATTGTATGCATGTAAACTTTTTTTACATGTATGTAAGTATTGATAAACAAAGGAAATGAGATCAAGTAACAAAAGGGCCCAGGGAGTGTCCACAGACACTCAGTTCATATGTGGGTCTGTACCTAGGGTTACAGAAATGGTTAGAGAAATTAAGTAGGGCTTAAACATGCCTCTTGACTTCAGATAGCCTCTGACTCACTCCTGATCACCCTTCTGAGCCCAGGGCCAGGGATTATTTGGGTCATTGATCTTCCTGGCAATTTATCGTCTGCTCATCCTCACAAGCAGGGTAAACCTCCCGGAATGGGTGCTATCAGTCAAAGTCGGTCCTTGAAACAAGTCATGCCCCCAAGCCACTGACACCTTTACTTTGATTCTAAATAGGCTTTTTTTACCCAATCATAAAGGTTATGATCCTATCCTTCCCTTTTTTCCTTTTTTTTTTTTTTTGGCCACTTAATCCCTATGAAAAAGAATGGTGGATGAGCAAATGATTCCATCTCCACAGAGATGCATTTAAAGTTCTGAATTCTAAGTGATGTGAAGTGCAGCCTAGAACTGTTGAGATGCTGGTTCTCCTTCAAAGCATTTTCAGTCCACAGGCCAGTCAGCAAATGCTTCTTTGACCTGTGCCAGAAAGTTGTCCGACATTATGGGCTCCCAGGTGGCACTCGCCACTGCCTTCTGTGACTACCTCAACTACCGCTGCCTGAAGCCATTCTTACCCACAGTGACCTCTGAGCACTTAAAAAAAAATTAAAAATTTTATGCAGTGGTACTGCTAGGGAAACAGAATAAGACCTAGAAGTTCACAAGCTGCGGGGCAAGCCTGACTCACCATAAAAATCTCCCTATGGTTCTTACCACCTCAGGTCAGGAAGTTAATTGTTTTGGACCCTAAGAAACGGCTGACTACCTTCCAAGCCCTGCAGCACCCATGGGTCACAGGTAAAGCAGCCAATTTTGTGCACATGGACACGGCTCAGAAGAAGCTCCAGGAATTCAATGCTCGACGTAAACTTAAGGTAAGATGGCATTTATTTCATTTTGTTGTTTTGAAAAGATGTCTCTTATCTTGAACTACCAAAGATAGTTCTACAGTTCTTCATCTAAGACTATCATTCATCTCCTGTAGTGACAGGCAAAATCCTGCTTTGAAATCCGAACCACGCTGGTGGTATAAAGCCACTTCTAGTCTTATGTTATCCTCTCAGAAGGACTCATTGTTAATAAAAGGAGAAATGTGTTACGTGTTGACATTTACTCACCAAATACGTGATCACTTCTCATTTTCTTAAGGCTGAGCTGCTTAAATAGCAGTGTTGTAGAAACTATTTAGAAAGTTTTCTTCTTTCTAAATATGTGAACATTGGGAGACAATCTTTAAAAACAATATTTTGTAATATGAATAATTAGCATACTTGGTAAAAATTAAAATAATTCAAATTATGTCAAAAATTATCCATAAAAATATCTCTTGGTAAAATATATATGGACTAGAAACTGGGTCCCTTTCTCTTACACAGTGGTGTTTCGGTTTAGCTCTGCAGGCAGCGGTCTCAGAGAACAGCTGGGGGTCAGAAAGTGTTCCAATCTGCCATCACTTACAAGCTGATACCAAATAAGCCTGAAGGGCCTCATGGTTACACTGATTTGAAATACCCTATATTAAATAACCTTGACTTAACCCAGAATTTCTCAAACAAACCTGAGCATGGAACTCCTACCTCTATAATGCTTATTAAACATCTATGGAACTAGTGTTCCCTGAAGCAATACTTTGGGAAACACAGCCTAAAATTTTTGAAAACCAGTAATCCATGGGCAAACGCATTTACTCGGGCTTTCAATTGATCAGATGACTAAGTACACAGATGGGCTTGAGATTAAAGAGGTTTTTCTGTTTATTCTCCAGAGTTTTCATATGACAATCTTGATACAATAATACTTTGAAAGATCAAACACCAACATGTAAAGCAAACTCCCTGAATGCAAAGTTGAGCCTTGGCTCAGAGCTGGGATTTTAGTGGAGGTGTCATCTGTCATTTTTCTGTTTGTGATCAGGCAGCAGTGAAGGCCGTGGTGGCCTCCTCCCGGTTGGGAAGCGCCAGCAGTAGCCACGGCAGCATCCAGGAGAGCCAGAAGGCCAGTCGAGAGCCATCTCCAATCCATGATGGCAACAAAGATGTTAAAGCTGTTTCAGAAGAAGAGGAAGTTCAGGGAGATGGGGCTCAAGTGGCAGTTGAGAAGGCAGAAGCCGAGCCAATGAAGATACAGGCCATGGAGTCAGTTGAAGATGCTGTTGTAAATGCTCCTGAGGCCACCAACATGGTGCCCGAGGCACTAGAGGCTGGGATCAGGCTGGCTGACCCACAAGTGGAGGAGGGCCCTGCAGAGGAGAAGCTGAAGACTGTGGAGGAAGCTGCAGCCCCCAAAGAAGAGCAAGAAAACCAGGCTCTGGGATTTGGAGCTCAGCAGAATGAAGTGATCCTGCCAGAGTACTAGGTGGCTTTCTCCCAGTCTGGAAGCCAAATCCTGGTACTTGATGCATTGTTGTCCTTCAGTGAGGAAGGTGTGGAAGCATGACATGCACTATAGTAATTCTGTTTTTGAGGTGCAAAAAATACATATATATCAGTTGGTAATCCTAACTTCAATGCATGTGACTGCTTTATGAAAAAATAGTGTCTTCTATGGTAAGTAATGGATACCTAATACTGATGAGTTAAATTTGAAATTGCAAGTAAACACAACATAACATTTTAAAACATGTATTTTCAGGGACCAATAGCACATATTTGAGGTAAATATTAACAAAGGTTTTTTTGCTTTGAAAACCTAACCATGCTCTGCCCTTTGGATTTCCTCACAAGGCAGTCAGCCATCCCTTCGGACCGTTCCTCAGCTAGTACTAGGTGGCGCCCTGACGCAGGCCCCTGTCCGCTCACATTCCTCTTGTCATGGGTTCCAGTTGTTTACAAGGAGGTGGTTCTGCATCACATGTGTAAACACATTTGGTACGTGCAAAATAAGGAATTGAAGCATACTTTACAGGCCATGACACCATATGCTCCAAAGCTTGTGTGAAGAATGCTTTTTTATTTTGTCCCTATTTATATAAACTTTATTACTAATAAGATGTCCTTCTGGTGGACAACACTTCAGGAAGAATAAAGAATTTTAGGGAAGAAAAGGAGATAAGACCAGAACAAGGCCAGGACTTGGAATAACAAAGATTGACTCCTTGTCATTTTTTCAACTAAAGTGGATTTATTAATGAGTTTGTACAACTTTAAGGATAGGAGCATTTTTATAGATAAAGTCTATAATTACTGAGTTTCAAATATTTAGAAAAATCTATCCCATAGGCTGGTGCCAAACTGTCTGAATAGAGTGGAAAGAGTATTATTCCATTATGAGACCTTTCATTATTGACTTTACTAAAATAAGGAAACATTTTTGTTTATAAAGTATTTTTCCACTTCAATTGATAGTTATTTAGACATACTGCTTATGAACTAAAGATATTTCTGAAAAGCTAGTATATCTTCTCACACTTGGAATCAAAGTGCCCACATTTCACAACATGGTTTAGAATGTCTTCATTTCAGTTTAGGACAGTGAAATTTTTTATTACCTTAAAAAACAAAAACATAAGAAACAAAGAATAAAACCTATTTCAAATCAGATTGGAGAAGCTGTAACATTAGACTTGATACTTTACTATGATTTTTTCCAAAATATATTTCTTTGATTTTCATATAAACAACTTTTCCCTTATAGAAATCACATTAAAATTCCAAGTATCTCAGACTTACTTCTAGTTTGAAATGAAATAAACATTTTTATAAAATCATTATGCATCACAGTTTAGTACCTTTCCTTAATTTCAAAAAAGAATTATATTCAAAGGACAAGATGATAGACAAGAAAAATGGCTATTACATAAAAATCCTCATCCAAAAAAAGAGATCTTGAATTATTCTGGCTCTTCCTCAAAAGTTTTAAATTGGAAAATGAAACGAAATCTCTGGTTTCTGGGGGCATTTGGCCCTGAGTAGGCTTTCTGCTTTCCAAGCACAAATCTTCATTTACTGCTGTCCTCCTGAGAGGAAAGCGAGGTAGGATCTCTCATCTTTCCTGGTTCAGAGGCCTGATAGATCACCGACAGGGAGTATGTAGCCCTTAATCAAGTCACATCATCTGGGCTCAGAGCAAGATTACTTTTCCGTTTATTGCATTAACTAGTAGAGACTACTTATTCTCTTCTTCTGTGTTTCTGTCCTTTATTCTCTCTCAAAATTTCCATTTTAACTATTATGAAGGGCTCACTATTTTTAATTGTTAAGAATGACTTTTTTACTAAGCATTAAGATTTTCATTTAAAAAGATCACTTGGTATACTTTTTCCAATAAGACTTAACAGGTATATATAGTAAATGCCCCATCCATTCATTACAAACAGGAGGAAGAGAGGGAGAGAGCCCGTATTAGAGAGTGGTACTTCATTGGAAAGATCAGAACCTGTCATCCCTCCCAGCCCATGCCCGCGTGGTTCCAGGGGCAGTTCTGTCTGTCCGACACTCCATGCGCAGGGCTGGCTGCAGGGCCGGCCCTGTGGACTGTGGGAATAGCACAGGAAATAGCACAGGAAATGCCAGGGCTGACATGTGTGTAAGAGTTTTACCCATTTAAGTGAGTACACATGCCTATTCCTTGGTGAATACTTGACGGTGTGCGGGTAATTTCCTTTGTTTTGTTTTGTTTTGTTTTGTTTTAATCTGTAAATTCTACTCTTTAAAAAATCAATGGGAGTTTTAAAGTTTGACTTGGGTGTTAAAGATTAAGTCCTCACAATGCCTAAACAGTGGCTAATTTAGTCATTTCAGTGGAAAACAAGTCAAACTTTCATAAAAATAGGTCATTTCAGCCAAGAGACTCAAAGATTTCATAGAAATAGAACCTAAGGATAATTAGGTTAATGTTTTGAAAGCACAGCAAGCATTTATATATTTGTTGAAATGGGATGTATTATCTTTCTCAAAGATTACTTAGCTAAATAATGGCAGATAAACTATAATTTGACATACTACTTCATAACGTTACCCCTAACTGACAATAGTCAAATTATATTTAAAGCAAAAGAATTAAGGGAATTTCAGCAAAGAACAATAAATTATGTTTTGCATTTTAGAGCTGACAGTTATATTATTACATTATTAATTTTTGTTTTCAGAAATGTTCAGACGCACAGCACAACCTAGACTGTTTTACCATGGAGAAGGGCAGTCTTCATCTCTCCCCTTTAAGAAGTCTAATTGGAATCCCAGTGATTTTTCTCAAACCATAAGAGGTCATTCATTCCATGAATACATAAATAAGGTAGAAATTAGAATAATATGGTTGTGAAAGTTATCATCTAGAGCAAGCACTCTCTAACATAAATATGATGCAAGCCACGTACATAGTTTTAAGTTTTCTGTTAGCCACATTAAAATTAGATAAAATTTAACTGCATTTTAATCTGATATATCCCAACTGTTATTCCAACATATCATCAACATGAAAAATTAATACTTTAAATTTTTATTTTTATACTGTTTTCAAAATCAGGAGTACATGTCACACCTTTAGTAAGTCAAGTGCTCCGTGGCCACGTGTAGCTAGTGGCTACTGCATTGGAACAGTACTGTTCTAGAGTGTTTTTTAAGCAAAATGATTCTTGAATGTCTGTGCTTAGTTACAGCTGCCTCAGTTTTCCACGCAGATGAGTTGATAGGAGGCCAGAAGGAAAATGTTTCAGACACGTCATAGACTGAACTAAGTCAAAACTCCACTGGCCACTCTGCCTCTTTTTAGAAATCTACTAAAGCTTACCAAATTTGCATGATGAAGATCACACGATGGGAATAAACTCCCCCAAATGTGAATATAACCGTCAACAGGCATCTTTCAGGTTTTCTTAGAAGGATTTAATGAACACTGCCATCACACATGGATCCAAAAGACTTTTGGATATTTCTTACATACTACTGTTTTAGAATAATCCTCAAGGTTCTAGAGCCATTTTTAGTGGCATACATAAAAAGAAAGAACATTTTGCCTTTTACTGTGACCTCAATTACATAGCATTTTCAACATATTTTGTAATTTAGCGTGTTTAGCAATTCTTATTCCCAGGTTCACATACAAGGTAACTGTGTGTGGCTTACCTACACACCGAAGATTTAGAGTCATTTTGTTTCATAATTTCATAATTATGCTTTTTTTTCACAGAAGCATCCGGTTGCATTTCAAACTTGAAAAACATACACATTCCAGGAAAGGCAAAGAACAAAATTAGTAAACTATTCTGTTTTAAGATTGTTCTTGCAAAAATATGCAAAAAAAAGTCAACAAAGTGAATCAGCACTAGATTTTTCTTGATGAAAGTCAACTCCACATATAATTGACATAAATATACTAAGCAGAGCCAATTAACATAATTACAATGCCATTATGTAATTTACTTGTCATTACAGAGTATTCAGTGTACTACTTTAGAAGGTGAAAAGTTTACAGACATTTACCTACATAATAGGATTTGTAAATCCTTGTAATTACTGCCTATTAGGTCATATGCCAATTTTCTTAATGCTCAACACTGATATGTTTCCGATCGGGGTTATGGCAAACATCTGCACACTTACTGGTTAAATGCTGCTTAATGGTTAGACTCTGTGTGTGTCTTCAGTGTTTTTAAAAACATTTATGCACATATAATCTCAATATTGGTACAATATGCATAACCACATAATAAGCAGAAATATACCCAGTAATTTTCTATAATATTTTTCAAAGTCCTTTCTTCCCCTGAAACAACTCAGAGGAATTTTCTGACTCCTTGACATATGAGAGAGAAAGAAAAAAGACCACAGGGGAGATATTACCTATCCATCCATGGCAAACAAGGTCAGTATTTTCTCTTTCTACATCCTGATATAGTAAGGACCAGCTTTTGTCATACCTTTCAGATATCACCTGACATCAGATAATCTCAGCTCACAAAGTTCAACCATTTATATCTTTATCTTGGAGAGCAATGACAAGTTTGACTAATTTATTCTTCCTTGTTTAAAATTCCAGTTCCTAAATGCTTGTAATATACTTGAAAGGATTTGATTGCTTGATTTGAACTTCCTTCACTCTCAGCTTCTTCTCTGTCACCTGCCCCAGAGGTCCACCTAGGGCAGGATGCAAGTCCGTCCGTGACAGCGACCAGCTGGCTCCTTCACAGGAACCAGACCTCACTCTAGTGAAGACTCCAGGCATCTGACCTGGTTGAGCTCAAGTGAGCCAAATGGAAGAAAACCTCTTCCCATGCTCTGATTGAAAGTGATGCTGTTGAATATTGGTATGTTGTCATTACTCAGTAATGGGATTCCACTGATCATTCACTCTTCCCAATATCTTGGTTTGCTACCACTTGTCCCAGATCTTTGCTTTGCTCCATCTCTCTGGCCATTGGCCTGTCCTCAGGGATGAGAGATCCTCTCTAAAACCCTGAAAGGAGCGCCCTGCACTAGCTGCAGGAATGTGGGGCCCTTGGTAGCCTAGAATTTAGTTTGAAACTAAACAGCAGTGATGACTATAAAATCACACCATTCTTTTT